GCACCATAGCCTATAAGATTTGACTCCTACAGGGTATCCCATGAACATGCACTTCAGAGCTCTAGGTTCGACCTTGTCTTGCCTAATATGAGCATAGGCCATACAGCCAAATACTCTCAGTCTGTCGAGACTAGGTGGATGTCCCGACCAAACTTCTTCAGGTGTCTTCATTCCCAAGGCAGTCGAGGGACATCTATTTATCAGGTAAGCTGCTGTCGAAACAGCTTTCGCCCAAAACACCTTCTTCAATCTAGCACTAACCAACATGCATCTAACCCTTTCAAGGATTATTCGATTGAATCTCTCAGCTAAGCCATTTTGTTGAGGAGTACCTGCTACAGTCTTATGCCTTGCAATCCCAGACCCAACACAGTAACTGTCGAAAGCTTCGTTGCAGAATTCAAGGCCATTGTCGGTTCTCAACCTCTTAACCTTTCTGCCAGTCTGAGTTTCAACTAGAATCTTCCAACTTTTGAAATTCTCAAAAGTTTCATCCTTCGTCTTCTGAATGAATACCCATAGTTTTCTGGAATAGTCATCAACGATGGATAGAAAATACCTTGCACCTGAGTGTGAAGGATTCCTTGCAGGCCCCCAAAGATCAGCATGAATGTAATCCAGGGATCCATGTGTTCTTTGCTTGCCTTTGTTAAACTTCGCCCTACAGGATTTACCAAATACACAAGATTCACAAAATTTCAACTTTTCGACTTTGTCACCTCCTAGAAGGTTCTGCTTCCCCAATTCGACCAGACCTCTTTCGCTGATATGGCCCAATCTCATGTGCCATAATTCTGTCTTCGACATAGATTTCGTGGATGCAACATTTGTCGAACCACTTACAACCTCAGCCTCAAGGGTATACAAGCCTTGTTTCTTCACGCCTCTCAAGACTTCCTTCGACCCCTTCATGACTCTTAGGATACTTTTCTCTCCTTGAAAAACATATCCTTTTCTGTCGAATTCACCAAGAGAAATCAAATTTCTCTTCAAGTCAGGTACGTACCTGACTTCAGTCAATAACCTTATTGACTCATCATGGAGCTTGAATCTCACAGATCTAATACCTGCAATTTGGCAAGATTTGTTGTTTCCTAATAGCACAGATCCACCATCTTGATCACATAGCTCCTCGAACAACTCTCTGTTTGGAGTCATGTGCCAAGTGCAGCCTGAATCCATAATCCACTCTTTCCTCGAGTCGCCACTTGAAACCACAAGAACATCAGATGAGTCGAAGTCATCTTGAACAATGGTTGCATTGCCATTACCTCCATGATCTTTCAGGCGTTCAGGGCACACCTTTCTTATGTGACCCTCCTTCTTACAGTGATAACATCAAATACTAGATGTTTCACCACTATAAGACTTCTGTTGACTTTTACCTTTCTTCTTGTCGAACTTACCATCCTTTCGCAAGAATTTTCCCTTAACGGCCAAACCTTCGCCCACCGTCGAAGGTTTATGCTCCTTTCGTTTGTTCAAGTCCTTAGAATACAAGGCTGATTGAACTTCTTCAAAGGTCAGGGACTCCCTTCCATACAAGAGAGTTTCTTTGAAGTGAGCATGTGTTCTGGGCAAAGCACACAGCAGCAACAGTGCTTGATCTTCATCATCGATCTTCACATCAATATTTTCAAGATCAAGAATCAGCTTGTTGAACATATCCAACTGCTCAGCCAACATTTTGTCTTCACTCATCTTGAATGAATATAAAGCTTGCTTCAGGTATAGTCGATTCACCAGAGATTTGGTCATGTACAAACTTTCAAGATTCACCCATAATCCCGATGCTGTAATCTCCTTTGATACCTGTCGAAGAACCTTATCACCAAGGCTCAACAATATTGCGCTGTGGGCTTTCTCGATCATGCCCGTCTTTTCTTTTTCCGTTAACGCAGCGTCCATGGCTGCCTCACCCTTCAACGCTTCCAAACAACCCTGTTAAACCAATAGGGCTTTCATCTTCAAGTGCCACAGACCGAAGTCGTTCACTCCGGTGAACTTTTCAATCTCATACTTTGTTGAAGGCATCTTCTCCATGCTCACCGCACCAATTTGTTGTGAATAGGATACCGTTAAACAAAGTATACACGGTTTCTTATCAAGAAACACACAAGGGTTAGGGTTAATAAAGAAAACAAGGTAAAACAACAAGGATTGGTTATTAAACTGCTATTCTTTCCTTTCTCTTAGAACAAGATTACAAGTATACAAGAATAACAAAATAACCTCTCTCCCTTGAAATTAGGATTTTATCTTCCTATTTTTCCTTATACCAAGATTGAGAAACTAGCATCCTATTTATAATAAAATAACACACTAACCTAATGGTTTTTTTTAACAATTATCCATTACAAGCCAACTTAGGGTACAAGCTAACTTAAACAATTGGGCTTACAACCAAGGCCCAATTCAACATGCTAACAACCCTAGCAATATTGACTAATGCATGTTAGAACAGACTTCGACTACAACACGCATTACTTGCGAACAAACTTCGACTATAATAGAGTTCGATCCAACATCTCTCACACACACACACACACATATATATATATATATATACACACACACACACACACACACACACACACACACATTGTGATGTATATGAGCGAGTTGTGATGAATTGTGGTGAGAATGTAGAATTTGTGTATTTTTATGCTAAGATATATATAATTATATGCATTGTTATTATGATAGTATTTCTCACCCTTATGCTATTTTATGATGCTCTATGAGGCATTGTAGAGTAGGTATGCTAGAGATCTTTTTGTGAAGCGTGTCTTCATTCTTTTGGCCGGTCGGCTCTGATATGTAGCACCGGGTAGCTAGGTTGTACATGATTCTTTTGTGATACAGTTGGATATGTATCTTGTTGTTGAATGTTCATGAAAACATGTATTATGTTTTGAATCTTACTGGATGATGTGTATATATATATATATATATATATATATATATATATATATATATATATATATATATATATATATATATATATATATATATATATATATATATATATATATATATATATATATATATATATATATATATATATATATATATATATATATTATTTGGATGTTATTCAATGTTTAGATTTTCCGCTTTTATTCTAAATATTGAGATGTGGGTGTAAGGACTAAGTTCCTTTGTTGCAAAGTTACCCCACTGTTGCATATCTTTTGTTGAGCAGGTGTTGTATGTTTTAATTTCATGTATAATGTGACATACCTCTTTTATAATATATTTATAGTTATATTCTTATGAAATTTTTAATTTGTGCCTAAATGATTATGTGATTATTTGGGGGTATAGAAAGGGGGTGTTACAGATTCAAGAAATCTGTTGGATAAGAACCTTTGGGTAATGATGTTTTCTTTTTATATATTTATTGTTACTATCTCCTGTCTTGTGAAACATCATTTTGTGTCCTTCTTCTGACAAGATTCTTATTCCTTTAGGAATCTTATTCAGTTCTCTTCTTTTTTATTTTCTATTTGATTGTGTGCTAATCAAGTCAAACTTGTGATGAGTTCTTTAGTTAATTATTCCTTGAATTCACTAGTTGTCATCAATAAAAAGTCTGTAGATTTTGATGAGTTTCTTAAGTTAAGTTTTAACTTCTAGAAGACTGTGTTTGAACAAAGTTGGAATGGATACTTTGAGATACTCTATGGTTTTACTTATCAAAATCTTGTCAAAGAGTTTTGGATTAATGCTTCCATTGTTGAGTTGAATTCTGAGTGTGTTATTCTTTCTGAAGTAACTAGTGTTTCTATAATAGTAACCTCTAAAGCGATTGCTAATATGATCAATTGTGAGGAGATTGGAGAAATTCCAGGAATTCTTGTTTGGGAACACTATCTTCCTACTTGACGTATCTTTGTAGATCCATCTAAAACATCAGTGGTCTCAAATCTTTGTCCTGATGCAGTTGTTTGGAATCAGATTCTAAATTCAAACTTACTTCCTAAAGATAAGGATTTAGACCTCGTAGACCCTATTGAAAAATATTTGCTTCTACTTCTAAATTCAGACTTGCAGATTGATCTTCCTCAAGTTATGTTTGACTATTTGAAGATGACTCTTTCTTCCTTTCACAAGGGAAAGATTTTTTCCATTCCTTATGGATGAGTTATTTCAGAATTACTTGTCCAGCAAGGGTTATCATAAGTTCAGAGGCTGATTCGTCTAAAATCTAGAGAGACAAGTTTGAAGCTATCTATGACACTAGTAGAAAAAATACTTTATAGTAGAGGTTGTTAAGTCAGTTCACCTGCCACCTGACTTAAGAAGTGATGCGGTGACAATTTCGTAAATATTTGTAACATTGTTAGCTCAATTACATTTAGAGCTGACTTAAAAAATATTAAAGAAAAAAAATATAATTCATATTAAATTTCTTAAGTCGCTTGTGTTCACTAACTGACTTAAAAAACATATTTATTAAGTCAGGTATTACCCACCTTATCTAAGAAGTTTTATTCAAACCCTTCTCTCACTACAAACTCTTCTTCTTCACAACAAACCTTTTATTCAACAAATGAACTCATTTGTTAAACTCTTCTCACGAACCCATAAACCCCTTCATCAAACTCGAATCCTTCACATAAAATCCAGAAATCATACACTTCACTGTCGAGTTGCTTCGCCGTTTGCCGTGAACGTCGGTTTCCGCTGCTGCACCAATTCCACTGCATTCTTCCATTAAAGTTTTCACTTCCATTCCAAAGCAACTCGCCTTCTCCCCTTTATCCTTCTGCTCCACCTCCGACCTCCATCTCACTCACCATCCAGACAAACATGTAATTTCATTTTCACGCCATTTCCAGGGTTAACTCATTCAATTGTTTTTTTGTTCGCATCATTTACTGAGTTTGAATCTTCATTTGCAGGAACATGAACCGGATAATCGTCACCCGCAGCATCTGTCACTGTTTGGCATAATTGCAATTTACATTTTCTAATACTCGTTTCTAGATCTTCAGATGAGTTATCACAAATTCAATGAATCACAAAGGGAACAGCTTGTGCTCAGGAGGTTGAACCCAGAAGCAAAGCTCGAAACTTTCTTGCAGTGGCTTCAGGTTTGTTAACATGATTTGTAATTTACTTCAGAAGTGAATAAACATATCAACCTTTTATTGCTATGGTGAATTTTCAAAATGGTTTCTTTTCCCTAGTTTTGAATTTTGATTTGGTCTTGAGTTCAGGCAAATAGGGTGGAACTACGAGGTTCCAATATCAAGTACTGTGATTCCAGAAAAGGGTTCGGCATTTTTTCTAATAAAAATGTTTCTGATGGTAATAATAATATATTGAAATCAATATGAATAGAATATTGTTATTGTTGTTTTGAATTGGAGATAATGGAAATACTCATCTTTCATAGAAAGTGATTTTGTTTTCTTTGAATAAAGGGATTTTGTTGGTTTTTCCACTTGAGTTAGCAATTACTCTCTGATGAGGGTGTTGCAAGATCCTTTTCTAGGACCAGAATGTAGAGCATTGTTTGAAGAAGGAGATGTAGATGACAGGTTCTTAATGATGTTGTTTTTGACTGTGGAGCGTTTGCGTAAGGGTTCTCTATGGAAGCCGTATGTATGGTTTTTTTTTTTGTTTTACTTTATGTTTTTCAGAACTTTATGTTAGGGAATTTTAATGAGTTATCGAGAAGCTGACATTTAATCAGGTACCTTGATATGCTTCCAACCACTTTCGAAAATACACTTTGGTTTAGCGAAGAAGAACTTCGAGAGCTGAGAGGGACTAACTTGCATCGTGCAACTGAGTTACAGGTAATTGATGTATGACGGAACCAAATGTAGTTTGTTTAATGGGTTGGTGATAGAACCAAATGTCATTTAGCAGTAGTTGATTTGATTACTGTTTTATCTTGCAGAAGAAAAGCCTGTTGAATTTGTATGAAACTAAAGTGAAGGATTTAGTGATGAAACTTTTGAATCTTGACGGAGATTCTGAGATGTATGTGTGTTTATTAGTTAATGATTTTAAATAGTTTATTCGTAATTGACTCCTATTATATGTCAATCATGTTAATTTAGTTTTGAAATTAAGAACTATAGTTTTGAAAATATAACTTAATAGTATTAGTTCACTGCTTCACTTTTTATGACAACTACTATTGCAATAAGAATTAAATTTGAATGTGGTTTATGATATTATATATAATATACCTTCTCAATTTTCTTCAGGATGATGAATTGAAATGCGCTTTCTAGATTTTGTTTTTAAACAGCAATTTTTGAATTTTAAACGTAAATTTACGGTGGTTTTCTTGTGTGTGTATCTGTTTTTCCAGTGAGGTGTGCTTTGAAGATTTCCTGTGGTATGTACTTCTAGTGAACTTGTATATGCGCATGAGTTCAGCTAATTATTTGGAAGTTTATATCCGACTTGCGTTAATGCTAGGGCAAATTCAGTTTTCTGGAGCCGTGCTTTGAACATTCCAATGCCTCGTTCTTATGTATTTCCTGAGATGCAAGATGTTCATCAGAGTTGCACTCCAGAAGCTGATGAAAAGGGTAATTCCATCTCTACCTAGTTCCCTTTAAAAAGTCCTCTCCTGTGATGCATCCAACGGAGCCGTCACAATAGTGTTTTTTTTTTGAATTTGTGAGTTAAAAGTGATACTTAAATTAGGAATGTTTTATTAAAGGAAACGAGGCTACAAAATCAAACGATCTAACCAAGGAAATGACATATAGGACAGTGCATGGAGAGACCGTTTGGGTTGAGGGTCTTGTCCCTGGTATTGACTTTTGCAACCATGGTAAGATGTTGCTTGAAGCTCTGACATTTCACTTCACTATGTGCTTTTAAACTACTTTCCTTGTTAATTTTTTTCATTAATTGGAATCTGATTTTTTACATGACCAATCAGATTTGAAGCCAATAGCAACATGGGAAGTTGATGGGATTGGCTTAACAACAGGAGTTCCTGTCTCCATGTATCTTCTTTCCGGTAACATATGTACCTTTGATGTTCAACTTTTTAATATTAAATTGCTAACTTAGTTTTCTTTTGGTTTCTCTCTTTCGGCTTTGGTATTTCCGTAAAATAATATTTATTGAAAGTTTGAAACTATTCCCCTTTAATTCATTATTTTCTTGTAAAGTTGCTCAAAGTCCCTTGCAGATTGATCGAGAAATTTCCATTAGTTATGGCAACAAGGGAAATGAGGTAGATTCTTTATATTGTACCATGATCGAAAGAAAAAAACCTTTTCCTATAAAATATGTTTTATATTCTCTAGTTTATTTTTCTCTTATCTTCTTTTGATTAAGCACATTTTCCACTTGATGCAGGAACTTCTATATCTGTATGGCTTTGTCATTGATGGTAACACAGATGACTATCTCATGGTAATGTTACACTTGTATCTTGTGTTCACCAAGCGTAAAATTTCTACTTAACAATATTACCCCAATTCCTTAATTGTTTCGTCAAAGTGATCCGGTTTCTACTTTGTAGAATCTATTTGTCTTCCATCTTTATAGTTATAGTTGTTGCCCCTTTATTTATTGCTATTGAGAGTCTCATATTCTACGAAGCATTGACACTGACACGGGACACACCTTCATACTTTGACATGAGTTGTATCTGTTTTGCTACAGTTATATTCTCTATGATTCAAGTTACTATGTCTTACTAACTTTTCATTGTTGTTGGGTCCCTTAGGTTCATTATCCATCAGAAGCAATAAATACTATTTCTTTTTTCGAGTCTAAAAGCCAGCTTCTTGAAGTGCAGGTATACCAATAAAGTAGAATATGAGTTATTTCACCAATTTGTTATTATCTATTGCTTTAAAGCTTCCCCCTTCTGTAACTCCACTTTCTATTTTCTTTGTTTGTTACTGTATGCCCTTTAATTTGATTTTATGTTTTTTTAATAAGTAAAAGATGTTTCTATGTTAATACTGAATCACCTAATCTAAGTGCATTTTCATGACCATTTTTTTTTGTTTTGCAACAAATGAATAAAATTGCAGATCCTCTGGAAGAGCAATGCTTCATAAAAGATCCAGAGTAGAATTTCACCCCCTTGGAGTTATTGGGGCCATTGTGTCGTGGAACTATCCCTTCCATAATATTTTTAACCCTATGCTAGCAGCAGTTTTTTCTGGAAATGGCATTGTGATTAAGGTATAAAATGGCATAATATGTACCAAGTAGTACCTTGTCTAAAATTGTTCATTGTATGGATGTATTATAATGTTTTCTTAACAATAGACCTTGCTAACTGTTATGCTTTCTTGGGGATAATATAATATTTTGTTACTTTAACAATTGAATTTCTGCAACATTCAATAGCAATACCTACATTTTTATGTTTACATTTTTCAGTTTGACCAAAATCCTCGTGATTCTGATTGTAGATATCAGAACATGCAAGTTGGTCTGGATGCTTTTACTTTCGGATCATCCAATCGGCCCTTGCTGCCATAGGAGCTCCAGAGGACCTTATTGAGGTGATAACAGGATAGACCCTTATTTTTTACCCTTTCTTTTCCCTTTAATTTCAGTCATATCTGCATTTATTACCTCAATTGTACTTTTCTTACCAGGTTTGCGGAAACAGGAGAAGCACTGGTGTCTTCTGTTGATAAAGTCATTTTTGTTGGATCACCCGGGGTTGGTAAGATGGTATGATTCCTTTGCCCAATCAAATTAGTTCGACCTGTTTTCTCATCTGTGAATTGTATGACATAATAGTTTTGTTTATGATTCTGAAGATTTAATTTCTGATATGTTATGCATTCAGTAAAGAATTTCCCTAGAATATTTGGTCAGTGTTTTCAGCACATGATTTTCTGAGCTCTTCTGTAGTAGCTAGTAAGGATTTTGAAGAGCAGAAACCATTCAACTATAATGAAGAGAAAGGGAAAGGAAATCAAGAAAAGAGAAGTCTAATGAGCAACAACATAGGAGAGGATGAATTCCTGTAACTTGTTTTCTCTCAAATACTCTATCATTGATTCAATGTTACTACTTTATGTAAATTAGAATGCACTTTCTTGCTTTATGTGTTTCTTTAATTCTATTCTCATGATGTCTTTGTTACCACTGCAGACCCTTTGAAGGAACCACCGCTAATAACAGCAAACACAGTTCTATCAATCTTGTTTGTTGATTATCCAGTTGACAAAGTTAGTTGATACGTCTCCGATGACAGTGATTTGATGCTTCTCTTTGATACTTTGTCACAAACTTCTCAGTTTGCAAGAATATGGATTCCGTTTTGTAAAAAGTATAACATTGAGCCAAGAGCTCCCGAGTCTTATTTTTCTCAGAAAGTTGATTACTTGAAAGACAAGGTACTTCCAACATTTGTAAGGGACCGCAGAGCTATGAAGGTAAATCCTACATCGATGTTTTTTAAAAATAATTTTTTCATATTGATGTTGTTCTATCTTTCTATGTGAGGCTTTAAGGCATTTTCCATTGCAATTATGCAGAGAGAGTACGAAGAGTTCAAGGTGAGAATTAATGTACTTGTCGCGGAGTCTCAGAAAAAACCAGAAGAGGGGTGGGTGCTGCAAGATGGTACTCCATAGCCCGGGAATAACACCGACAATCATCCAGTAATGATTCAGGTTTGCTAATTTCATTAACTAAAAAATCAAGTCAAATTTTTTCATAGGATATCCTGAAGAGTTTATGATAATAGTCCGAAAAAAAACATATGGAAATTGTAATAAGCTACTTTCATAAGCTCTCTCAAATTGTTTAATAAGTGCTTATGTCAGGATATCAGCTTAAGTAATTCAGTTCTAACATGTCATTTGGATAATGACTATAAACCAAGAACTAAAACGTATAAGCACTTATCTTTGTAGGTGTGTCTTAGAAGTGCTTTGGCCGTAGACAATGAAGGCAAGTCACTGCCACGGCTTGTGTATGTTTCGCGCGAGAAGTGTTCTGGTTATCAACACCATAACAAAGCTGGAGCAATGAATTCTCTGGTAAGTAGTTTAAACTTTTAGTATATAGTTTTATTCCATTTAGGTTAAAAAAATGATATTATAAAAACTGCTTCATTTCCTCAACAGCTTCGAGTTTCTGCTGTGCTTAGCAATGTACCTTTTGTGTTGAATTTGGATTGTGATCAATACATCAATAATATTATTATTAATATTATTATGACTTTAACTTTAATTAGTGATATGTGTTTGTCAATCCATTTAGATACTCAAATGGAGGAGACATGTCTGTTTGTTTGCGGTATTACTAAAGTGAAATAATGGTGGTGTCCTTTTCCATTACATCTTGCAAGAATTTGATTCTTTTTTAGCAATACTTTCTTCTCTTTAAAAATGTTTTGACTTTGTCAAGAGTAAGATTCCGTTCTGTTGTTCTGTTGTATGTTGTTTGCTGCTGTATTTGGTATCCTCACCAACATATTCACATATTCCTCTATATTTGTGCAGAAACTCTGGT